AGCAACTGAACAATTAACACAACTATTCATCGTCTATTCTTGTCAGTCTCTGTCATCCAAATTATCAATTATGTAACAACCTACTTAAAATTCCAAGACTTGTTATTTCTCCATACCTTAGCTTCTGTCGTGAATACTTTGATTAATTATCACCCTTTGATACTTTGAGCTTGACACTCTGTTATTATTCTGGTGTTCATCATAGATTGACATTAGTTAGGGAAACAATAAGTCGTAACTCTTATGGCAAATCAAGTAGGATGTGGAGACAAATTACTCAATAGTACTATTGAATAAGGGTTGTACTACATTATGAATTGACAGAGATAGGTGTAAATCGCTGGATTTCGGCCAACTGACTTAATCGTAACATGCTCACCATGATATCTGAAGGTCCTGGGTTTTTAGCCCTGAAAAATGGTGTCATGGATGTGTACTACTGAGAAGTTTCTTTCTCTGACGAAACAACTATCCAATACTCCCAAGTTTCTATCATTTCTTCAATTGATATCAGTCAATGATGACAAAAATTTTATATTATTGTACACACTTTCATACAAATATTACAATTTTCTCTTACATACAATATTAAAACAAAATAACGAATAACTGAAAATCATTGAAAGTAAGCAATATATAATGCTATTGATGGAAAAATTACTGATGTGTCTATCTAGGAGTATGAAAATGAAATTTTCTAATGCTTATTCACCTTCTTTCTTGTTTCTATGACATTGTCAACTAGCTTTTTATCAGTCAAATACTCATTAAACTATGCCTACACAGATAAGAGTTAGATTAGGTAATTTTGTCAATTGCCATTAAAAAAAAACAGTATCTACTGATAGGTGGTGTAGAGAAAGTCTACAATGATATTTTTCAGTCTTACTTCCTATTTCATTATGACAACTAACCCAGTTTTTAGAGCTGAAAATCTAAGCAGAAAAAATTTTTGCATTGTGTTACAAACAATCATAATCATTTCAATCATTTTGTTGGGTTTTGTTTCACAGCAATGCCTACAGTTTCCTTTGATAGTTTTCCAAAGGATGGGAGGGAGTAGAAAACATCATTCAGTTTCAGTGAAACAAAATAGTTCATTTCCCTTGTCTACTGGGAAATTATTTATGTGTTGGTCAAAATTCATAATATTTTGACATAGTAGCCATATAAATTTCACAGATTATGATGATTTTCATTCCATTTACCTGATTATCAAGATCACCATTGAAAAACTAGATTATTTTGACAATGAGATCAAGTTTTAAAGATATGAGAATATTAGTAGTCAAGTTAACTTTATACTGAGTGATGATTGGAGGTGAAGTGAAAATCTGAACAGCATCCTAATTCGAATCAGCGACCACCGGGTTTCCCACCTGATGCTCTACCAACTGAGCTGCAACACCATCAAGCCGGAAAACCAGTGGTTCCCGGTTCGAATCCGGCCGTGGTTTAAATTTTTGTTTCACCTACAATCATCACCCAGCATAAATATTAGTCTGCCAAACTAAGGCTATCTCACATAGTCAAATGACAATCAATATGATGCTTCACCTCTCTACTTCAGTTTCATTTGGGTTAGGATGTGAAGTCCTAGCTGGTGGGCAGCCAGTATGAATACGAACAAGCAAAAGTAATGCGTCATGAGTTCGCATCGTAGTCGGGCATAATCTCGCTTGTGATTCTGGTGGAATAAAAGTGTGATGAGCAGTTGGACCTGGTAGCTTAGTTGGCAAGGCATCTGGCCGGTAACCCGATGGTCCCTGGTTCGAATCCGTCCGCAGTCCACATTTTTATTTCAACTTGAATCATCACCTAGTATAAACACTAGTCTCTCAAACCATGGCTATCTCATTAAATTTATCGCTTTACTGGAAACTTATAAGTTGGAGAGTATCTAAGTATCAGAGTTGAATATCCACTGTATTCTTCTTGATTCACTTATTAGAAGTTTAAGTAAGAGAGATTAGTAATCAACTTATCTGAAAGACTTTTACACTGTATTTTCCAAGGATATTTTATTGATGATAAACTGTTGACAGAAGCAGGAAACGATGAATCACTAAATTCCAACAGAGTGGATGAATGGTTAATGCGTTCACCGTGAAACCTGAAGGTTTTCAGTTCTATCCCCATATGAGTTTTCACTTGGATTACAAGTACATGATTAAAGTGCTTCCTTTTTAATCTGTCTCGAGATCAAAAGACAGAATAACTCATGGCGTCTTTTTAAGAGGTATTTACCTTATAGACAGCCGTAATACGCCTTCAAATGAGAAGCTGAAGAAAATCTACTTGCCTAAGTATGATCTGAAACTGGATGTAAGCCTGAGTGTTTGTTTATCTGTTGCACTTCATTCATCGGTTATTGTAGGATAATAGAGGTCATGGTACAGATGGGAACACTCTGTCTTGTCTATCCTAGCCGTTGGAATTAGCCCATATATTTACGGCACAAAAACGTTTCGTGTCATATGAAGAAAGACTGACTGCTGGGGCTCTACGCATATTGGCTAATTCCCACAGCTAGAATAGTCTAGACCGTGTGCAGCCAGCTGTACCATGACCTCTTTTGTCCTGTAATTACTGGTCCTTAAACTACAACACACAAACACATTCATGCATGACATACAACAGCGCAGAATGAATAAAGAAGCTCGAACCAGACAAAACGTTGGAACTTCTAATTTCAAACCCACCGACATTTATACAAATATAAGTTATATCTGATATCAACTTTTCATTAAGTATCCAGTATTTGTGTAACTGTCCGGTCTAATGCTGACCAAAATTCCCATAAACTCTACTGAGTTATTTACTAAATACATATTTTTATTAAATTTTGAGGGAGTTGTGGGGATTTGGCGGTTGCGCTATATCGTGAGCTGACAGAAGTTGAAAATATGGACCGTTGGATTCTGACCCAGTGGCTCAATGGTAAAGCGCTGGCCATGCAACCTGAAAGTTGAGGGTCCGGTCCCAGGAGGGCGGGGCCGTGGGTGCTTACTGCTGAGGAGTAATAAACTGGTCAGATGAAACAGCTATCAAGTACTCCTAGGTTTCCTTTATTCCTCCAACTGATAATAATAATAATAATAATAATAATAATAATAATAATGGTAACAATCCCTTTATTACAGACATTAACTATCAGTACAGTTTAGAATTCTCGGTGTGATATTTCAACAAATTTACTTTTGTACAATATTTTCAAATTAAAAGTCATGGTAATTAAATAATAGTAATAATAACAGGTATGATAGACAGTAATACTGAACAATCAGTAGTTTTTAGGCCATCAACTAATGTGTATGTTGTTATACATGGGTTGAATAGAAAGGCGAGTGTAATTTCAGTGGTGGAGGTTCATTCATCCAGTATGAAAATTTATTGTTCCAGATATGTGTTCGTGTAATAGCTATATGATGCACAGTTGCGTGTTCTGAAGCCAACTCCCGTTTTCTGTGTCATTTTCTCGTAGTCTTGTTCTTAACCCGTCTGAAGAAAGGTTGAAGATATTTTAAGAGTTCCGATGCCATAGATCTGTTCATCCCTCTGCTACACCTCCAGTTGGTCCTGAGGGTGGTTGAGTGTTGATTAAATATGCATCAATTGTATTCCTTTTTCTTCAAGTGTCATGCTACCAGACAGTTACTTGGACTTCCACTGCGTAGTCATACGACTCAGAAAAATCCCAAAAGTTTCCTACAAGTCCAAGATGAATAATCCAGTAAGATAAATAGTGCAATCTGAGCTATATCATTTGGTCAAAACAGTCAGACCTACCATACAGTTGTCCGTTTGGAGAATGATGGTAGTTACTAATTGAGAATTGTACGTTCCGCTGATAAGTGTTTTGACAAAACTGTTAGTTTCGGAGATGAAAGAAAGCTTCGATTGGATTGATGTATGTATGGTTATTTTTGAGAAGAATGAAGATCAGGTGAAACACGTCAGTACTGAAAAAGCATGCCTTGCCATTTCAGTGGTTAAAACATTAAAAAAAAGGGAGAGATTTGATGAAATATATTCAATGAAATATTTTTAGTAGCCTTAAATTCAAGCAGGTGGCTAATCATGAGATGGAGTTTTATTTTCAAAGATAAACAGACCTTTAAAACGCATATACTGTACAGATTTAGTGCTAAGATACAGATGTAGTTCCCTACCACAATACTCTCCTCTTCACTGAATTATTTCTATTAGGCTACTACTGTAAAATTTGTCCACAATTCTATCTGGAGGTTTGTGGAGGTTTATTTATCGATTTCAGGTAGGGACTCATCATTGAATGACATTAGTTGGAGGAACATAAGAGCGCTGCACAGCTGCTTCGACTATAGTATAAGACTTCTAAAAAGTGCGAACCCATAAACACACAACACGTAACGAACCCCTGACCTTCAGGTTACGAGGCCAGCATGTTGCCATTAAGCCACTGGGTCGGAATCCAATGGTTTATATTTCCTACTTTTGTCAGTTCACGATATATTATTATATTATTATTATTTGTCCCTTGGGTTCCTAATGGAACAAAGGGATTGACTAGCACGTCTCCATTCCACTCCCTACTCTGCAAACTTTTGAACCTGGTTCCACGACAGCCAACAAGCTCTCAACTCTTCCAGACATCATCATTTCCATGTCACTCTCGGACACCTAACTCATCGTTTCCCCTGGGGATTCCACTAGAGTGCCTGACGCGTGATGTCCCCGAATTGTCTTCTCACTGCATGCCCAATCCATCTCCACTTCCTTCCAGTGCATATTTGTTGAGTGACACAGTGTGACTTAAATCTAATTCCAACGTCGTTGAGTAACTGTTCTCATATTGGTCACGATTTCTGATTGGAATTTCGAAAATCACCTTTCAGAATAAGTCACCAATAAGTGTTAGATTAATTTTATCTAAAGGTTTTCTTCAGTATAGTTATTTTTTTTAAAATTACTTTCTTCTCCTCTTTTTATCTTCATTACATTTTACAATGATGCATTAGACCACCGTCCATTAAATTACCTGGAAGTATTTAACGCTTCATCTGCTTCAAATACAACAATTTATGTTGGTGGCATAACTAATGAGTTAACTGGTAAGAGGAAATTTTAAACTATTGTCATATTCCTATTTCATTGATTCATTCAATTAACCAATTCATTATTCATTTATTATTTACAGATATGAATTTTGTTCAATTTTTAATTAGGATGAGCAATACTCTACGTGAAAATTGCAATTTCATTAGGTATAGAAAAATTCAGGCTATGTTAAGAAGAGAACACAAAAATATTGAGTCATAAACTACTATACAATTTTGAGTAGTTAACAGTCACTCAGATTTTCGTGATCAAGTTCATCACGAGTGTAATTGGACAGATTCAGCTTTGATTATCAAAATTTGACTGAGTTGTAATGATTGGCTGTTGATATACTTTTCTTTATCAATATAAGTGTAAAACTTGGGCACTGTAGTAGAATGTAATTCCATATTAGATTTGTTTATTTTTTATATAGCGCACAGTGACACAGTATTATTTACTTGATTACGTTTCGAGCATAAATTATTACTACTCATAATCATATCAATGTAATCACACTTCTTTCGACATCTGATTTTATAGTCCTGTCACCTGATCTCTCTTTGTTGTTTTGATTGGTAGTAAAGTTTTCCATATCTCTGGTATAGGTGTTGCGTCATTCCTATTACATGTGTTGGGTGTGGATTCGATGAACAAAGATTCAGTAATTAATCTCTCTCTCCACCTAGCTATATTAGACTTAAGTACAGTGGTTTTGTCCCACCCTATTGTGTGGTTGTGTGTTAATGAATGTAATGCAATGGCTGAGTGTTTTTCTAGGTTATTGATCTTATTGGGGTCTGTCGTTCTATGTTTAGCTAAATTCCTATGTTCTGTTAATCTAACTGACCCCGACCGGCTAGTTTGACCTATGTATTTGACTTCACAGTCATTACATGGAATTTGGTAGATTATATTATTTTGCTTAATTGGTTCTATCGGATCTTTTAGCCGACAAAGCTTACCTCTAAGTGAGTTTGTTGGTTTAAATGCCACCCTAATTCCAACCTTGTTGAGAATCCTACGTATGGTTTCTGATGTTCCTTCCTTGTATGGTATCACAATAGAGGTGTTGATTTCCTTTCTACTTATGTTGTCACTATTATTTGTATTTGTATTAGTGTTATTATTTTGCTTCTTATGTGTCCGTGTGAATTTCTTAATAAAATGATGGGGATAATTATTAGTTATTAACGCTTCTTTTATGTGTTTCAATTCCTTATTTAAGTCCTTACAATGACTAGTGAGTTTCTCAGCTCTGTTATTTAGACATTTGACTAAACCCGCTTTAACTGACACTGGATGAGATGACTTGAAGTCTAGATACCTGTTAGAATGTGTTGGTTTTCTGTAGACGGTAGTATCTAAACCACCATCTATCCTTCGTTTTATTCTGCAATCCAACATAGGTAATTCTCCTTGTTCATTTTCTACTTCGTGAGTGAATTGGATTGCGTTAACTACTGAGTTTATGTGTGTCAAGAAACTGTCGATATGTTCCGATTTCAACACTGTAAATGTGTCATCTACATATCGCCACCATATCTTAGGTGTCGGATTATATGTTCGTAAAGCCATATCTTCCCAACTATCCATAAATATATCTGCTACTATAGGGGATATTGGTGATCCCATTGCTACTCCTTCTGTTTGTCTATGTATCTTTCCCTGAAACTTGAAGACTGTCGAGGTTAAGCATAACTGCACTCCTAACATGATTTCACCAACCGATGCCTTGGTTCTTTGAGTAAGTTGTGAGTCAGTATCTAGTTGATTTCTGACTGCCTCCAGTGCCATATTGATTGGTATTTTAGTATAAAGACTTGTTACGTCAAAACTAACCATTTTTTCATTCTCTTCTATGTGCAGGTCATTAAGTTTTTGTTTCAACTCGTAAGAATTTACTAGTCTAGAGTTGGAACGGTCTCTAACAGGACGTAATACTGATGCTAAATACTTTGATATCTCATATGTTGGTGTGTTTCGGAAGTCAACTATCGGCCTAATGGGATAACCTGCTTTATGAACCTTAATAGTACCGTAAATTCTGCTAGGATTATTAGTTTTTGGTATTAAAGTAAACCATTCGGACTTACCAGGAGATGGCTTCAGTCGGCGTATCAGATCTGTTGTGGATTTCTTGATTTTATTCATGACAGTATCTATATCTAATGGGAATGACGCAACACCTATACCAGAGATATGGAAAACTTTACTACCAATCAAAACAACAAAGAGAGATCAGGTGACAGGACTATAAAATCAGATATGGAAAGAAGTGTGATTACATTGATATGATTATGAGTAGTAATAATTTATGCTCGAAACGTAATCAAGTAAATAATACTGTGTCACTGTGCGCTATATATCAAATAAACAAATCTAATGTGGAATACTTTTATTTAGCCTGTAAGTAGGTATGTTGTTACAGAAGGTCACGTAGACCACTTTAAGTTTAGTGATAGCTACAAGAATCTAGAAGAGAGAAGAGGAAAAGAAAAAATGTGAACCAACAACTTAGCAAAAAAGTTGCAAATAAACATCATGCAATTTATATACCATCTGAAAGCTGATCATTTTTATTCATAATTGGTTTTATAAGGGGGGAAGGGGATACAAGTTTCTCTTAAAACACTTTATATTCATTGAGATGAGTACAGTCAATTATAGCCATCTGACATTGAGATACTGATATCATAATTTAAACACAAAGTGAAATCATAAGGGCTGAGCCTTCATAAACAGCACACTAGCAACAAACTTAAAGCTTGGACTTCATAATAATGAAGGCATCATGACTAGGTAATGAACTGAACACCATTCGAATTTAGTTAATTTATTCGAGTTATCGCCCTCGAGTGGAATCCCCATGGGAAGCGATGAGTTGGACGTCCGAGGATGACATGGAGGAGGTCGTGCGAGGAAGAAATGAGAGCTTCCGGGCTGTCGTGGAACCAGGTTCAAAAGATCTCAGAGAACAGAGTTCACTGGAGACGTGCTACTGAAGCCCTATGTTCCACTAGGAACCCAAAGGACTAATAATAATAATAAATTCGAACAGTAGTGTTTACGGGTATACATTTCCGACACAATTTATTGTCCATAATCAATATCAAAATAATCACACAACTTTAAGATATTCCCTCTCGTCTTTTGTAATAAGAATAGTTTGATTTTTCATATATCCTGAACACCTACTAAGTCATTCCTATTGTATGTGTTTGGTGTTGATTCGATAAACAGATTCAGTTATCACTCTCTCCCCTCCATTATATTCAGGTTCATTTTAACGATTACCATTCTGTCCCATCCTACTATGCTATCATGAGTAACCGTATGCATAATTATGGCCTATTTTTTCTAGATTTCTTATTTTACTAAAAAATCAATCAATTTTGATCTAGCTAAATCTTCATGCTCTGGTATTCTCTAATTGATCCCAGTCAACTACTTTGATCTATGTATTTGATCTGGCAATCGTTGCAAGGAATTTGGTAAACTAAATTATTCTGTCTAACTGGATCACTTAGGTATATTCTACTTACATGGTTAGTTCAGTATTGTTGACAAACTAATAAACAGATATGATCAAACTGAATATTGCCAAGTATAAACTCAGGCACATGCAGTAGGATATTTTGGCTGCTGTCTCTACGTGCTTATGCATATTTTGATTCTAGCCCATAGTGAGAAGGAGTTTTTTCGAGCAATTGGCTTTCGTATGTAAACTGCATGGCTTTATGATGAACATTATTAGTGACTCACTTCGGGAGATGATTCCAGCAGTTCCAATTAGAAGTCATGACCCATGGAGCTAACCTAGTCGGACATGATGACAGTTACTCAACGAAGGCAATGGATGCAGGTTGTGCTATATCTTGGACAGACAGAATTAGGAAATATTATTATTATCATTAGTAGTAGTAGTAGTAGTAGTAGTAGTAGTAGTATCTACGGTTCCTAGTGGAACAGCGATTCAGCAGCACGAGTCCATTGCACTCTCTTGTTTGCAGTCATTCGAACCTGGCACGACGACTGCCCACAAGATTTCATTTCTTCCTCACGTAATCTCCTCCTATCACCCTCTCCTCGGATAACCAACTCCTCTTTTCCCCTTTGGATTCCACTCCAGGGCATTGAGCATGATGTCCCCAATCAGCCTACTCAGTGTATGCCCAATCCACTTCCACTGCCTTCTGCATATTTGTTGGGTGATACGTTCTTGACTGGTTCTTCCCCAGAGTTTCTTGTTGCTTATTCTTTTTGGCCATCTGATCTTCAGTATCGAGTGAGCAAGCGTAGGTGGCAGCTGTTGATGAATGTCCTTAGTTTGTTGGAAATGTTTTTCGTCACGCGCCAAGTTTCTGAGCCATACAGAAGCACGCACTTGGTCTTGGTGTTTAAAATCCGGATCTTGTTCTTTCTGGTGAGTGCAGTAGATCTCTACAATAGTTCCAAATTAATGAAAGCCTGTCTTGCTTTTCCGATCCTGGCTGCTTTTGACATCGTTGTCTGTGCCTGCACCGCTTGTAGTTGAAACGATGCTGCCTAGATAGGTGTAGGTGAAAGAGACTACTTCCTTTAGGTTTCTCCCGTTAGCGGCGACTGGTGCTTGTTGTTCATGCTGTTGTTGGTGAAGTATCTTCATCACCTCTGTCCTCCTCACTTTCATCTGAAGGAAATCACATCTTCGCTGCCCTGCTCTGCCTTTTCTGTCAACTTTTAAGTTTTCGCCTGTACATTAGACACAAGTCATCAGCGAAAATGAAATCTTTCAGATTCTTTTCATCGGTCGCATGCCCATTCTCTCGCTCCTCACAGTTTGTCTCATGATCTAGTCGACCATAATCAGGAAGATCATGGGTGACAGTAGGCAGGCGTGTCTTACTCTTGTCTTAACTTCAAAGGCGTAACTGAGCTTCCCATTGTGGATCATATGGTATACATCATCTTCATATAGCTGTTGAATGACATCGATAAAGACTTATGGCACTCCATAGTATTGAAGCAACTGCCAAATTACTTCTCGGTCGACGCTGTCGAAGGTCTTTTCAAAGTTGATAAAGTTGAAGTTAAGAATTGACTTCCATTTTATAATGATGTATTGCAATTTGATCCGCATATGATTTGTTCTTCCTGAAGTCAACCAGCCAGCCTGTTCCGGTCGTAATTTTGAATGCAAAGCATGTTTTAGTCTCTCCAAGATGACGCAGCTTAATATTTTGCTTGGGATGGATAGAGGCATCATACCGCACCAGTTTTTGATCATCCCAGTAAGGATATTTATTTTCAACAGATACCTGATGGAGAAGTACTACTCATATAGTTTCAATGCATTAAAAAATGTTTTCTAAAATAATAATAATAATGATAACTATTTCTTTTTATTATTATTATTTTTTATCAGAAAAACTTCTTCAAGATTCATTCAAGCAATTTGGTGAAATCAAGGAAATCAGGATATTTAAGGACAAAGGTTTTTCATTCATTAAGTAAGTTTAAAGAATTTAGCAATATGAAACTATTCTACTATTGAATAGTTTATGCATAGAAAAATTGGTTAAGTGTTTTAAATACTCTATTCAAAAGTGAAGTTTATCTCATCAACAACTGGCGGGAATTTAGGTCAAACAATAAAGAAAATAGAAAGCTTGTTTCACACACTTTACTCAATAAGATATCTAACCAACTTTTTACTAGTTATCACTTAAACATATTACCTAGTGAATATTTCTCTTGAAAAACTTTCTATGTAATTGTAGATTTTTTTAAACACTAATCCCACTTCATTTTCCTATGTGTAGAAATATTGTGAGCTAACAGAAGTTGAAAATATAGAGCATTGAATTCCCACCCAATGGCTCAGTGGTAACATGCTGGCCGCGGAACCTAGAGGTTGCGGGTTCGATCCCTGGTGGTGTGGGGTCGTGGGTACACACTCCTGAGGAGTCCCATACTAGGACGAAACAGTTGTCCAGTGCTTCTAGGTTTCCTTTATTCCTCTAACTGATGTATCTTAAGATCATTTTTGCCATCAAAAGAGATAAAGCCCTTACTAAAACAACATATTGTCTGATAACACTTACATTATTAAGGTAAACAAGTCAGTTAATGTACAAGAAAACAAATAGGTGAACTTGTGAGTAAACTAACTGATAAATATAAATTCTAAGGTAGTATTCATCATGGAAAGACATCAGTTGGAGGATTATTGAGAACTTGGGAGCATTGGACAGCTGTTTCATCCGATTATGAGGCTCCACAGCAGTACGTACCCACGACCCGACTAGGGGCTGAACTCAGGACCTTGAGATTTCATGACGAATACGTTAAGCATTCAGCCACAGGGTCCCAGTTATGCTATTCACAGTTCCTAACTTCTGTCAAATTGTGATACATAGCGACTATTACCCATGGTCTTCAAATGGCATCCGCTTCCCTTCCTACTGGTTGACCCCACAGTTCATGGCTTCTTATTAGAACTCTGAGATATCTATCTGGAAGCATGTCACTAATAATCACTATACAGTAATGCACTTCGAGGTGAATAGGGTAGTATTCATCATGGACTGGAATATGTGATGAATACTACGTCAAAATTAGAATCCTTATCCACTTGAAGATAAATATTCACCCATTATTATTAATTATTATTATTATTATTATTATTATTATTATTATTATCACCATTGCTACTATTACTACTGTTATTTTCGTCCCCTGGCTCCCTAGTGGAACGTAGGGCTTCAGTATCACGACTTCACCTCCCTTTGGTCTCTGAAGTCTCTTCAACCTGGCTCCACGACTGCTCACACACCCAAGTCGTCCTTTCCCATTTAGGTTACACTCGACAGCCTGGTCTGGTCTGGCACATAATGTCCCAAAACGGTCTTCTCAGTCTATGTTCAATCCAACCCATCTCCAATTTCTTCTGCATATTTGTTTGGCAATAGGTTCTTGGTTGGTTCGTTCATCACCATAATAATAATCACTTTGATATTGATTGACAAATTGAACATAAAATAAAAATCTGTGCCATGGCAGATTGGAATCAATGACCTGACTCGATACTCTATCAACTATCCATTGCTCCCAAGTTTCTTCAACAAATATCCGTTCATGATAATACCCATCGTGAAATCGATCAATTCAAACAAACCTTAAAATTGATAGAACTTTTAATGGGTTTACCAATAACTGGAGTTCAAAATCATATCAGTCATAAAAGTGAAATAGTACACATGAAACTTAAACAAAACCTTCATCATCTTGTATAGAAATGCGACTGAATTTATTCAATACCTAATAAAAGAAAAAGGTGAATATTCAGGTTACAAAAGATTGAGATAAAGGTCTTAAAACTAACTTGTTTAGATCTAAATGTACAATACCAAAAAAAACACTATTTTACACAAGAAAAGTCATACATGAATGTCATTTAGATGAGTGAAAATCCATTGAAGTATAATCGAATCAAAGAGGTTTAAGGAAAAGTTTTCGTCTGAATTATTTCAACTCAATGGTAAATTAGATAATGTTATCAGAATATATCTTCTAAAAGAATGACATAAACATCTGCTAAGGAATTCACTGTAGGAATCTTCTTATCTTTTATTGAAAATGTATTAAAAATGACAAACAAATTGGTAAATCCTTTGCGAATCTCTGCGTCATATGGAGTAAAACAATCACTACAACATATAAAATGCAGACAAAAAAAACTCATTTAACAAAGGAGACCAACATAGTGAGTTGCAACTATTGTCAATATCAATACATGAGACTCGGGAGTGATCACTCCAAACGCCAGAGCGTTATCCACTACACTACCAAGCCACGATAGCCACTTCCTGTGCTAATGGGTATAGTCTTAGTGTTATTGCTTATATTATACCGTCGTTGATTGGACCGAAGTGATCGGTCTCTATTAGCATATGGGCTCCTGTGAGAATGCTTCAATATTGCCTATGTTCTAGTTTTAATAAATAAGTGGTTATCGTGACTCGGTAGTGTAGTGGATAACGCACTAGCGTTTGAAGCAATCGTTTCCAAGTCCAAATCCCGGTGAGAACAACACCACTCACTGGGAGGCAGGTACATCCAGCTAACCAATGAGTCCCAAATAGCATGGAAATGCGCATCATGGATTCCACTGCTAGCCACTATCCATCTGTACTATAACTAGAACACAGGTATATCGAGGCATTCGCACAGGATCCCATGTACCAATAGAGACTGATTACTTCACTTGGATGAACATAAGCTACCTGTCAACCGTTATGATATGAAGTTTTCCATCTCAATCTACTTTGACAACCACAGTGGTACGTTAAACTAGGACAAATTTAAAAAGAATACTTGGGCACATAAACTACAGAACGGTGTAGAAATGTTTGTATGCCTTCCGATGAGGCAAATTAATTACAAACAACCATATTAGCCTAGATATAATATACAAGCCTATTCTAAATGAACAAACCACAGCAATCAAACTATTCAACTAACAGGAAACTCACAAACACATCTAAAGAGAAACACATCAATCGAGTAAGTTAAAAGAATCCACTACCCAAGATCTTATTCGTCAGTTCATGCAGAAAGCACTTGTTTAGAATTAACCAGGTGAACATTGACAGCGAAAAATATCGATAAATCTCAGAAGTACTCGTCAACTGAATACTCTACATGCTTGATTATATATACCGTTGAACAATGCTAAAGAACATAAATAAATGCATATATAATGTACATACATTACTATCAGAATGAAAATACAGGCAATATTGAGCCTTCTACAAAAGAGATCGTAATCCTGTAGAGACAGATCAATTTGACCCGTACAAGAATTAGATAATACAAACAATAATATATAAACATCATCTGATCATCTAAGATAGCCGTAGTCTGACAGACTAGTATTTTCATCTCACCTTCAATCATAACCCAGTACAAATAATATATAAATTTAATTCTGAGGGGTGTGTGGGGATTCAGAAATATTTCAAGTTGTTATTCATCGTAGACTGACATCAGTTGGAGGAATAAAGGAAACCTAGGAACACTGGACAACTGTTTCGTCCTGGTATGGGACTCCTCAGCAGAGCGTACCCACGACCCGGCTAGGGGTCGAACTTAGGACCCTCAGGTTTCACGGCGAACGCGTTAACCACTCAGCCATTAGGTTGGTTCCCAGTGTTTCACAATTTGCAACTTCTGACAATGATAATGTTGACATAGGGAGTGAGAAATGAATCGATTCAGCGCAGATAACATCATCCAAAACAAGCTACTTAGTAGCACTTATGCAGACATAATAAGAAAATCAGTTGTATATTGAGATGATTAATAGTGATAACAATGGTAATGGGAATAAGGTTAGTTAGGCGAAACAGATCAAGGAAAGAGGACAAAGTATAAGATGAGTGATAATTAAAACCGAGGACGTAGTAAAAAAGATTGAATATGACTAGACGATGTTGTAATCCTTACTATGCAGATTCAAGCTGACTACCATTTCCTTCTGAATGAGAAGATTTGGTCTGACAACTCGAATAGTGCTGGCTTCTGAAATTTCTTATTTTGGTATCTACTGATAATCGTAAAGTACTTACAGGTATCAATATCATGCCCATAATCCAATAGGTGTTTCGTTATCAGGCTCCTCGAGGTCTTCTTCTCGTCATGCTTCAACCATTTGTGTAGGTGCTCAACCATCCGGGTAGACAGACGCCTCTCCATACAGCCAATATATTAGCTTCACCATATACATCCGAATTGACATATGCATTTTTATGTGTCAAGGATTGAAGCCCTATCTTTCCCTGATTGTTGCAGTACTCTTTGGATGGTACTGAGGAGAACGAGTTTAGCAGAGTAACAGGTCCTCCTGACAGACTTCTCTAGTCTTCGTCTAACTACTTCTAGCACGTCGTCACCCTTGAATGGCAAGGTGATATAGACTGGTTTCCTCTGCACTGTTGGCGACGTTGTTCTGCTTCCTACCCATTTTACACGCTTGTTGATAAAGCTTTATGGGTGCCCATTCTTCATTAGCAAGTTTTTGAATGTCACCACTTCGTAGCTTAGTGTACTGTCTGCACAGATTTTCCTGGCTCTGTTAAACAGAATTCTGTCTACATTTACTTTGTAGTGGATCGGAGAAAAGCTTATAAAACGAAGGTACTGTCCTGTCCATAAAAGTTTCCCATAGATGAACCTTTCAATAGATCTATCAATTCTAAGAAACCAATCATGTTATTTTCTTTGCGCTTAATCGTAGAGGTAAGGTTTGGGTAACATGAATTGAAGCTCTTAAGTAGTACTTCTGACTCCACTCTGCTATTACATACAATGAATATGTCGTCCATGCAACACTGATGCAGTTCCGTCTGACCAATGAAGCGCTTCAAGCTACTATTTTCCACACTTGATGAGAATAAGTCAAGATAAAGGGGACCTAGAGGGATTCCCATCTGTTTGGTGGAATAACTGT